CTGCTGGTGCTGTGGAAACACTAGATGAAGAAAACAGTAATGATGAAAAATGCTTTATGGAACAATCTAAACCTGCTACTAATCATCCTTACTGTCAAGCTTCTCATATTTACGATCTAATGAATGTTTTTGTTTCCGACCCCAAAAGACGGGATAGTTTGCTCTAGTTTCCCAGGAATTTTCGTTTCATTCCCATCCCAAGAAACAGGTTTTCTGGAATACCAGCCCAGAGCCTCTCTTGGAACTTCCGGCGGAACATTGAAGTTGAGGCAACATTGGAGCCCAGTTTCTAAGAAACCTCTCAACTTCAGCATCCCTTTGAAGTTGGAACAAGTTACTCTTATTTCGGTCGATGATTCTGTCACCAGACAGATGTTTAATCTTTGTCACCAAGTTCATTTCAGTAAATGTTTAAAAGATAATTGTGAGCGTCAGAAAAGAACTTTCATGTGGCATTTACGGGACGTGCCAAATCATGAACACGAATCTTGTGTTTGCTTCTAGTGTGTTTCGTTTGAAAGTAATTGCGTTCAGAAGTAGCAACACCCGATCATTTAGTGAGCTCCTATATTGAAGTAAATTATGAACAGGAAACTCCCTTTCTTCAACAAAGTTTGTTAAAGTAGTGAAAATAACTGGTTTTATTGTGCCCGTAAATTCCGTAATTTGTTACCAGCAGTGACTTCGTGATTCTCTGATCAACGGTGAGACAGCGGATTTGGATCTGTGGTAGGTTACTCTGTCCTCCCGACACTACAGCTGGAATCTGCCTCTCTCAAATGGAGACTTTAAATGGCACAGATAAAGAAGGAAAATGACATGTTTCTGGGTTTTAGTGTCGTGTAGTCTGGTAGAACTTTACCAACGTTTCAGAGGCCCTTGCTACCTCCATCATCAGGGCTATGAGATAGATGAAGGGCACTTACTGACTTCATTGAAAAGCTCAGATAATCAAGAAATTCAGTATTTTTTATTGAATCCGACGATTCAGTACAATGTTCACAGCAGTTACTGGATATTTATCCTGAGTCAAATAGGATTCTTTCCACGCCCTCACACACAGTTTATTCCCCGCCTTTACGCCCAGGTTTCGAAATAAATATTCCGGATCAAAATGGTGTATTTTTCACCTCCCCATCCATGCTACAATTTATGCCCATCTCATCTTTCTTGATTTGAGTACACGAATAATATTTGATGTTGAAGAGCAGTAATTGTCTCCTCATTGTGTAATTACCTTTACCCTTCTGTTAATTAACCTCAGATACTTGTAGTAACTTATGTAACAAGTCATGGGTTGTCAATACAAATAGGCCTACTTAGCTGACATCGAAGCACGTACGTATTTTAATTAATACAACATAGATTATGGAATGGTCTCTGCACTTTTACAAACACACCCAACTGATGTTCTTTCTTCGGAGTGATAGACCAAGTTTCGCACCCATGTGACACAAGGGACATGGTAGCATTGTATAGGCCTATAAATATTTAGATATAGATGACGCACGAGCAGGTTATAGTTCTGAATGCAATTGTACCAAACCTTCCCTAATTTAATCTTCTCTTAATTTTGTGATTAATATAATTCTTATTTATTACTACCATGATGCCGTCATTAGGAATGTTGGTATCTCATCAGAGCAAATTAGGGAAGTCCCTCTTTCTCACAAGTTGTAACAATGTCTGCACCTTCCGGACTAGCCACATCCTCGCGTGTGTCGCCACATTGCATTGCGTATACAACAGTTTTCTTGCCAGTTCGGGATATCATTTCGTTACTAAACGTAATAAAATCTTTGTTATATAGTTAGTATTTTATTCGTTTAAATATGCATATTATATATGTGTATAATAAAGTTGTGACTTTGAAGCAGGTAGCTCTGGGAAATGATTCGTAGGTCACAGGTCATCCTCAGAATTGACGGAAATGCCGTTAAGCGGAATGTACTCGGCTATGAAACGAACCTTGTGGATTAGTTTTAGCATTCGGCAACTTACAGTATCGAATCTCATATCATGACCGCGAACCGTAACTGAGGTCTTTAGTGGTTTCCTTGAGACTCTTCGGGCAAAGTGTCTAAAATAGATCACGACCGCTTCCTTCCACATATTTTTAAATTAATCGTCACAGCCATCCTTTCATTCAGCATTTTGTAAGCAGTGTGTTTGTAAAAACGTGGATAAATAAACCAGAATCAATAGTTCCCATATTAATTTATATCTTAATTGCGTCATGTTTGTGTTTATTAATACAATAATTTATTTACCGTCTTTACACAAACTTAAAAATGTTGTTAAAATTACTTAAAATTATAACATTTTTTCATTAGATACTAGATCTTGTTACATTTTACATTTGACGACATGTTTCGATGTTATCTCATCATCATCAGGTCTATCAATTAAAATCTGTTGCACTTCTTGCTCTGCGTATATTGATTTGTTTTATTTGTTTGATTTTTTAAGTTCCTTCCATTAAATTTGAAGGCTGTGCCCGGATGCTTTAAATCGGGTTGTATGTGATGTGTTGTGTCCGATATTACGGGCCAGTAGTTGCAAGATCTAGTATCTAATGAAAAAATGTTATAATTTTAAGTAATTTTAACAACATTTTTAAGTTTGTGTAAAGACGGTAAATAAATTATTGTATTAGTTCCCATATTAGTTAACGAATTTATACGCCAATAATACAAACATGAACGAAGTGAATATGAGACCGCATGAATAATTACATTTGATGCACAGTAGCAATTCAATGGAAACAATAAGGACCCATAGTGACTTGAACTTGAGTGTACCGGGCGTTTCTGTATGATATACAGTTTATTCGACTTTCCAGAAAAAATAAGTTACAAGACTCTTGACTTTATATTTTTTGTGGGTATTGGTTTGTTGAACTTGTGCACAGCTGGAGCACACTTTTTGTTCGTACACCAATCCCCCTGTCCTGCAGCTGTGTTGGGATAGGGCAGGGCTGTCGTGCACATGCAGTTGAGGGTGTTCTGTTTACAGCGTTAAAATGTTGGATGAGATCATGGTATGCCCTGTCTAAACACAAGGTCTGGTGCATCTATACGACTCCTATAAGGGAGGTGCTGCCAAAATTATGACAGTCTTTCCTGTAGGAGGGTAAAGTCTTTGAAGCCTAAGATCTTCTTAATAATATTTACTAATTCAGTACGTACCTCAAAGAAAACACAACACTCCAGTCCTTTCAAAGATCGCAGATGACTGTGCTATCGGAGAGTGAAAGAAAAGTGTACAAGCCGCAAAGTTTTTTCTTGTTTAACATTCTCAGTTTGTTACTGACTTACTAATATTTGTTACATTTAAATATTCTTATCGCGAAGTTATCAAATGCCTTCGATTTGTTCTTTAAGAGATTTTTTTTCAGAAGCGAGATTTAATAAACATTTGGTGAACATTCTTATTCGAATTGATCTGACAATGATTACACTTATTCCGAGATGGCATAGTGGTAATCTTTAAGACTCGCATTTGTACCTAGTAACGCACTACTCCATAATATAAACGTCGGAGGATATTACGGAAAGCGACAAATGTCCCTCAATCAAGATATTTGGCCGTGTATAATCAGGAGCATAATTCCTGCGTTACTTTGTAAGTACACAGTGTGCGAATGGCGCATTAATATTGTAGTTGGTTAGGGATTGTGTATGGAATAACACTGCCTTCACGTCAACCTTAACTACACCTTTCAATCCCATTACCACAAACTAGGTTTTACAAACGGAGTCATGGCAGTGTATTTCACCTGTTATAGAGAAAACTACATTACCAAAAAATTTGGTCATGTTGTTTCTTGTTTGATATTTAGGAGACACATATAATCAATATAGATTAATATACTACTAACACATTGATCCAGGAGTTTAGTAATATTTGAAGCAGTATCTCGATAAAATATGGCAGCATCGATATCGTTGTACATTTCGTAATAATTTTTTTATGACAGCTAGAAATATTTATAATTTTTTTAAGTCGCATAGTAGATGAATATTTTTAACTATTTTGTAACGGAGCTTGAAGCGAGCTGTAAATTTAATCCAGTGTTTATGTGAACTAACCCACCAGCCCAACACAGGCTTGGTTACAACCAGACAACGGCAGTCTCTCTTCTTCTTCTTCTTCTTCTTCTCTTTCTTTTGTTTCCTTCCTCCGACTCGAGGTTGTTCATTTTTTGTGTTCCTTCTCGAACCCTATATCAAAAAATGGAAGTTTGGTGAAGGGATGCAGTAAACAAGCAAGGTTATGGCAGGAGAGGGCGAAACAAGAAGCTTTTCGAGTAATAAACGTGGGCTGGAGGGGAGAGGGTGGGGTGGAGACTTTCTTCTATATAAGGAAGAAATGCCTCACCCATGTGCAACTCATGTATAATAATGCTACACTGAATGTGACTTCGATAAGGTTGCGCGCATCCTCTCTGAAATGTTTTCATTTTTCGAGCATTTGCGTGCATAATGAGGAACGTCAGAATAGCAATACTTTGGCAGCTGGGAAGACTGAACAACTAAATTTATATTGATTGCGCATATTTACAGACCTGTTTCTGATTAAAATGTGATTATTATATGAGTGTTGAAGAAGATAATCTCTTGGATACTTTAGAACCCCATTCACGGTCCCTGTCCTCAACTAGATGAATCCAATCCAAACCATCTCACCCTATCATCCTAGGGTTAATTTTAATAACATCCTGCCGTCTACCCATAGATATTCCGAGCGATCTGTTTTCTTCAGAATTTTATACAAAAATGTTTACGCATTTCTCGTCTCTCATTCGCGCTATATAGCCAGCCCATTTATTCTGCTCGAGCTTATAATATCTAGGGAGCTACTAACATTAACTGCTTGATAAAGTGAGAAATTGTTCAATATAGAAGGAAACATTATAATGAGTTTTTCTTTTCATTGTTTTTATTATTGTTTGTTCATTAATTACTTTGAGTAACTGAATATATTATTATTTCTTGCAGATAATCGCTTCTGGTGTCATGGCCGAATTGATATGTAAGTACATTTCTGAAGCCTGATTCTCAACCTCTAAATCATTGTGTAACACTTGATTTTCATGGTAACACTTTTCTGGTAAGACCTAGTATGTTATAAATTTCAGACAAGGTTGCGTGTTGTACTGAGTCGTAGAACCGATTATCGTATGGTGACTGAACCCTTCCCCTGGAGGTTTTCACGTTGTATGTTGTAGTATATACGTTCCTTATCCCCATGAATTGTTCTCATATTTATATGTTCAGCCTTATCGTCCTCAGCGTAGTAGGAGACACTAGACTTTGCAAACATATCTGAAATTCGGTTGAATTACCAAGGAATAATGAAGCCATACACCTGAAAATACTTACTCCTTAACATTTTGTACTAAATTTAATAATTTAAATAAAAACTATTTAGAATCACGTATAACCAGTAGCGGAGTATGAATTATTCAAAAGTGTTGGCCAAATACGAAGGAATGTCACATTAGCCCTACAACTTCTAGGTACAGAAATGTAATACCGGATGGAAAGGTGACTGAATAGTGGATTCCAAATGCTGTTGAAAGAAGCGGAGGTGGATGTTTTATCCCTGATTGACCAAACGTGACTGAGAAAAACTACCAACGACCTGTCAATAAAACCATTATTCGTGTCTAAATTCCAACACGGGACTTCCCGAACACGGCTCAGGAGTGTTAATAACTGAATTGCAACGTTCGACGGCGTTGAACTAACACTTGAGCCAGCGAATTGCGCGATGCACAGGGGGCGTACAGGGAACGAAGAATGTATATTTATTTTGAAACAAAAATTCTCTTTGTATAGCCTGAAATAAACAACAGTAAAAGAAATGTGTCGATGTTTATGGTACAGCCGAAAACATAAACTATGTTCATGAGTATTAAACAAAAGATTTCTCCTTTTAATTTCCCGTAGAGTCGTTGTGTTTTGTCTTGGTTTGACAGGGACTGGAGATGCGTGGACCGGCTGTTACTGGATGGGCCTCCGCTCATATTCCAGACTTTCTTCATTTCCTCCAACTTCCCTCCTACTTCCTCTTCTCCTGATGAACCGTGCATTGGTTTCCGAACCCCTAACCTCAAGTGTATTGATTTCCGGACTCCGGACGTTACCTGTCCTTACGTCCTACACACCAGAACACCAGTATCCCTCCAACATGTCGTGTAAGAGTACAGTAGCACTGTAAAGATGAACGATACGTCATATAGGATCTGTATTATTTATTGAAACTCAGCATCTAGTAAGAACATTGAAGGTGACCGCTATCATGATTTTAAAATGCATGTTCATTCCTCACATTCAGCAAGCACTCTGACCATTGCAGCCCGTATTTATTATCCGTTTTATGGAATATTGTGTCTGGTTTGCTCTGGTATTTTATAGGAGCAAGTACCCCCTTCAAATCTCAGCCACGTTACCTACTGCCGAAAATAAATGACAAGTAGAGCCAATAACTGATAGAAATGCGTAATTTCATAGTGCTGAATCTGCTGAATCAGTTGATCCAGCACAACATTAGAAACATCAGTAGGCATCATCCAGTGGGTTGTCAGGATTATGATTAGTACGATGATGTTTGTTTTCTTCAGCTATCTATAACAGCTAGAACATCAAGCAAGTTTTGTTGTAAAGTCCGATTATCGTATGTTTGACATGATTCTGTGTTAAGATCGAAGTTATTGGGGTGCCATATTTAACAGACGTTTAATCAACTGGACTGTTATCAGGCGTCCGTCATTTCGGGTGGCATTTTGTACACTGAAGGCTGCCAGTTTTATCGAATGAGAATCGAAAATAGTTTGCGTGCGGGAAAACTAATAAGGTGATACTTAGTTCTCCCTCTGAAACTGCTGTCTCTGGTTCGTTACCTGTTTTAACAGAATTTTCAAACTGTTACTTTTTATATTTATCTGATTTTGAGTTGACTCCTCTCTCTATCAACGTAAAGAAAATGTGCTGAGATTGTGAAGCTCTCTGTGGCAATACACTGTGACACAACTCAGGAGACCACCAGCAACTTTCTCGCCACCGTAAATATCTCATCTCATGTTTTATCTGTATGGACATGAAATTGCCACAGACATTAAATCAGTAATCAGCAAGAATAGTAAAGTAAAATAGCGTGAACCACGGGACATAAGTAAACGTTGAACGCATTGCATGTTAATTTCAGAAGAAGAATAAACCATGAATAGCAGTTGTAACGACCCTGGTTCTTCGACACCCGCGGTGTGCTACGCAATGTTTAAGCAACAGAGGATAATAATGCAATCAGTGTATATTTATTCGTGGTTTATTTAACGACGCTGACAGTTCAGACTATATCGTGCTTTGTGAATGAGGCATTAATGACACGGTGTAATGAACTGGAATGAGCACGTCAGGACACATTCAGCAATGTGTGACCCCGTCCCATTCATTTATTAATCCATCGCAATGACAGGTGGCACATTAGAATTCCGTCCGTAAACCGGTTATCCTGACTGAGGTTTGTCGTGGTTTTTCCTTAGTGCATCCATCAAAATTCCGGTGTAGAACTTCCAAACAGGCAATAACAGCTTCCGTCCATAATTTAAGCACAGTAACTTGATTTATACAACGCTGGAAAACAGCCGAATAAGCATATAATGAACATAGAGGAAAGCAGGAGAAATCGGAGAAATTACGTCGTAAAGGCCTGTGGGAAATCGAATTACTGCTAGCCTTTAAGGGTACTGTAATGGTAGCAGAGAAAGAGCTCTTCGTCTTTAATATTCCTTATTATAAGAATCCTTCTCATCATCTCTCCATTTTATCGGAACTCGATATTTTTTTCCATCTTCTTCCTCCACTACCTCGCCTCTTTAATCTTCAGTTATACTGGGTCCTGTATCTTTTCTAAGTTCATCCTTTAATCATCTTCATACAAATATTACTCTATATTATTTCATCATTCCATTCATCTCCGTCGTCCGCTAAATCTTCTTGTTTCTATTTGTTGTACTGCACTTCGTTTCTCCTACTATTCAGATCAATAGATTCATAAGAACAGACGGTTCATACATAATTCACTAAGCGCGTGCTGTTGACCAAAGCACAGTGCTTATAGCTCCTGTTCTGAAGGCTTCTAAGTCGAATCCAGCACGGGCCTACGATTTATTCTTCCATTCGAATGGTTCTCTAATTTAATTCTTGCGATATCAACTACGCGTTTAATTAATGAGATGATTATATACGAATACACGTCAGGCTCTTTAATTAGCACTGAGACCATTTTCTTGAATGGTAAGGCGGTAGAATTCTAATACATTCGACTTATCCCTAGACTGTACGTGCTGGAACTTAATTTTACGGAATGTTTATAAGACACCCCGCGGTCGGGCTGACGTGGTGGCGAATCGATACGTTGAAATGCTGCCGTCAAGACCGAAGACCATCATGTTATGGACTGACCTGTAGCTGTAGTTGTAATAGAGCTCTTAATGGACATAGTTGTATTTTAGACGGCATAATTAAAGAGCGGATAGAACAAATTGTAGGCTTATTATAAGAAGCAGCATAATGCGTATTCATCTATCACAATTAGATGACTACTCAGGTATTTTATATTGGGCCGAAAATGTATCGTGAATGGATGAAGCGTTAGTTGAAAAACCGTGAAACGTGACCTCGCTGAAGAACAAGGCTTTGATTTTAAAATAATATTAAGACGAGTCTTAGAAAAATATGGTATGAATATGTGAACCTAAAGTATTGATCAGTATAGAACAGTGGTATTCAACCTTTTTTATTCGCGTACCCCCAGATATAATTTCACTTCAACTTTGTACCCCCAAAGTTGTTGGTGTATAATTCAAGTTATACATAGTATATAATCTACATCTTAAATAAATTAAATAAATTACATTACTGATTACTCAGTGTTTATCATCAAATAATATATATATATTTTTTTAAATTTCACGTACCCCCTAAGATGTCGCGCGTACCCCCAGGGGTACGCGTACTCCAGGTTGGAAACCACTGGTATAGAATGCAAAGGCAGGCTTCCTCTTATTATCTTTGTGGTCTGAGGGTTCGATCAGGACGACACATTTCTGAAATAGTTGAAAAACGATCACTTGCTCGGGGAATACCCTTGCCATTTTGTTTATATCTTTTTACCTTTTGTTCGGCTGGTAAGGACATAACGTTTGCAGTCGATGCAAAAGACGGTGATCTGTGTTAGCTTGCGAACAATCCAGGAGATGATAGAATTATAAAATGAAAATCTGTTGTCCCACTTTACTTTTCATTCACGACCTGTGCATGTCTCTTGTCATGAGAACGTCGCTTAAATATGTTGGTCTTTTCGGAATTTAAGTTTCTGCTGACTTACATGACATGCTGACTGTCTGGAACTCGGGGTTAGCTCTGCTTCTGATTAATCCGCCCTCTTTTCATTCCGTCTTTAGCTACATCTTCCGTCGTTCTCTAGACTTTAATTTGTGGTTTTCCGGACTTTGCCTAGAGGGACGAGACGGAGAATCGTGAAATGAAATTTGTCTTACGGTTGCTATGTGTTTCAGTGTTTTTTTCTTTCCTCCCCTCGTCGAAAGACTACGGTCTATTTGCATTTCTTGTTCTTCTTTGGTTCGATCGTTTATCAGCGCATTGGGATTTCGAATTGGGGTATTTTTCCTCAACGCTCTTTTCTTATATCTGTTAACTTTTTTCTTCCTTCTAGTACAAATAATTCTCTTCGATAAATCAGATAGGACACAATATTCACCTTCTTCTAAAGATCTGAATTACGTAAATAAATCAATTACTGTATAAGCGGACGCTTGCATCGGTTTAGTGCAGGGGTTGGAAGTAGTAGTCGATTTGAAATAACAATTTGTCACTCGTATGTCTTCCCGCGTAGTTGTACACTCCGGGATGAGTTAACTGTGAAAGTGTTAACTTGAAGTGTGTACGGGCGATTTCGAGACCAGTGATCTTTCCTAACAATACTTTTTATTTAATTATACCAAT